ATAGGTAAATGCATGAAGATAAGGAAAAACCAGTGCAAAAAGGCTAAAAATTCCAAAAATCAGAGTTGGGAGTAATACACTCCTCAGCAAATGAAAAAGAAGGGAAATCATAGCAACCAGTCTCTCAGACCACAGTGCAATCAAATGAAAACTCAGGATTAAGAAACTCACTCAAAAATCACACAACAACATAGAACCTGAAAAACCTGCTTCTGAATGACTACTGAGTAAATAAGAAAATTAACCAGAAATAAAGAAGTTCCTTGAAACCAATGAGAACAACAACACAACATACCAGAATCTCTGGGACATAATAAAGCAGTGTTTAGAGGGAAATTTATAGCACTAAATGCCCACAGGAGAAAGTAGGAAAGATTTAAAATGGAGCCTAACATCACAATTAAAAGAACTAGAGAAGCAAGAGCAAACAAATTCAAAAGCTAGCAGAAAACAAGAAATAACTAAGAGCAGAGCATAAGTGAAGGAGATAGAGATATGAAAAACAATTCAAAAAATCAATGAATCTAAGAGCTGGTTTTTCTGAAAAGATTAACAAAATAGCTAGACTGCTAGCCAGACTAATAACAAAGAAAAGAGAAAAGAATCAAATAGACACAATAAAACATGATAAAGGGGATATTACCACTGATCCCACAGAAATACAAACTACCATCAGAGAATACTATAAATATTTTTATGCAAATAAACTAGAAAATCTAGAAGAAATAAATAAATTCCTGGGCACAGACAGCCTCCCAAGACTCAACCAGGAAGAAGTCAAATTTCTGCATAGATCAATAACAAAGCCTGATACTGAGGCAGTAATTAACACTCTGCCAACACAAAAAGCCCTGAACTAGATGGATTCACAGCCATATTCTATCAGAGGTACAAAGAGGAGCTGGTACCATTGCTTCTGAAACTATTCCAAACAACTGAAAAAGAGGGACTCCCCCTAACTCATTTTATGAGGCCAGGATCATCCTGATACAAAAACCTGGCAGAGACACAACAAAGAAAGAAAATTTTAGGCCAATATTCCTGATGAACATCGATGCAAATATTCTCCATTAAATACTGGCAAACTGAATCCAGCAGCACAGCAAAAAGCTTATCCACCATGATCAAGTCGGCTTCATCCCTGAAATGCAAGGCTGGTTCAACATATGCACATCAATAAACATAATCCATCATATAAACAGAGCCAATAACAAAAACCACATGATTATCTCAATAGGTGCAGAAAAGGCCTTTGATAAAATTCAATATCCCTTCATGCTAAAAACTCTCAAGAAACTAGGTAACGATTGAATGTATCTCAAAATAATAAGAGCTATTTAGGACAAACTCAAGCCAATATCATACCGAATGGGCAAAAGCTGGAAGCATTCCCTTTGAAAACTGGCACAAGACAAGGATGCCCTCTCACCACTCCTATTCAACATAGTATTGGAAGTTCTGGCCAGGGCAATCAGGGAATAAAAAGAAATAAAAGGTATTCAAATAAGAAGTCAAATTGTCTCTGTTTGCAGATGACATGATTGTATAGTTAGAAAACCCCATCATCTCAGTCTAAAAATCTCTTTAAGCTGATAAGCAACTTCAACAAGTCTCAGGATACAAAATCAATGTGCAAAAATCACAAGCATTCCTATACATCAATCATAGACAAACAGAGAGCCACATCATGAGTGAACTCCTATTCAAAATTAATACAAAGAGAATAAAATACCTAGGAACACAACTCACAAGGGAAGTGAAGGACCTCTTCAAAGAGAACTACAAACCACTGCTCAAGTAAATAAGAGAGGACACAAACAAATGGAAAAACATTCCATGCTCATGGATAGGAATAATCAATATCATGAAAATGGCCATCTGCCCAAAGTAATTTATAGATTCAATGCTACCCCCATCAAGTTACCATTGACTTTCTTCAAATAATTAGAAATAACTACTTTAAATTTCACATGGAACCAAAAAAAAGAGCATGTATAGCCAAGACAATCCCAAGCAAGAAGAATAAAGCTGGAGGCATCACGCTACCTGACTTCAAACTATAGTACAAGGCTACAATAACCAAAATAGCATGGTACTGGTACCAAAACAGAAATATAGACCAATGGAACAGAACAGAGGCCTCAGAAATAACACTACACATCTACAACCATCTAATCTTAGAGAAACCTGACAAAAACAAGAAATGGGGAAAGAATTTCTTATTTAATAAATGGTGTTGTGGAAACTGGGCTAGCCACATGCAGAAAACTGAAACTGGACGCCTTCCTTACACCTTATACAAAAATTAACTCAAGATGGGGTAAAGATTTAAATATAAGACCTAAAATGATAAAAACCCTAGAAGAAAAGCTAGGCAATACCATTCAGGACAAAGGAAGGGACATGGATGAAGCTCAGCAAACTAACACAAGAACAGGAGACTAAACACTGCATGTTCTCACTCATAAGCGGGAGTTGAACAATAAGAACACATGGACACAGGCAGGGGAACATCACACACACAGGAGCTGTCAGGGGGTGGGGGGCAAGGGAAGGGATAGCAATAGGAGAAATACCTAATGTAGGTAACAGGTTGATTGATTCAGCAAACCACCATGGCACATGTACACCTAATGTAAGAAACCTGCACGTTCTGCACATGTATCCCAGAACTCGAAGTATAATAATAATAATGAAAGGAACTGGTAAGTAACAAAGAAAATGTCAGAACATTTTTTACTCTTTTCAGTTAACAAGAGAAGACATGGAACAAATGTAAATTTAAATTTATATAAACATTTTCCCCTAACTAAAAAAAAAAAAAAAAAAACTATTCATGAATTTCAAACTTTTTTGCACCAAAAATTCATATTCATTTTTTGTAACATATCTGAACAAGATCTAGTTTGAGGCACAAAAAAGGATAAGACATCAGCTTGAAAATAGCCCCTATCAGAGCAGCATGAATTGAAGCAAGAACAAACATCAAATTTATGGCCAAGGTTGGGTGGAAGAACGGTGAAATCGAGGATGCTTTACAATTTTGATGGGGAAAATTCCCCCAAAGAAATCTGAAGTCTACAAATGAATAACTTGTTTGCAGAAGGAATGAGATAATGTTGAAGAAGTCTGCAGTGGTAGACCATCCACATCGATTTTTGAGGAAAAGATTAATCTTGTGTGTGCCTTAATTGAGGAGGACTCACAGTTGACAGCACAAACAACCAGGCAATACCATAGACATCTCAACTGGTTCTGCTTATACAATTCTCACTGAAAAACTGAAGTTAGGCAAACTTTCCATGTGATGGGTGCAAAATTGTTGCACCTAGCTCAGCTGAAGATAAGAGCAGAGCTTTCTTTTTTTTTTTTTTTTTTTTGAGACGGAGTTTCACTCTTGTTACCCAGGCTGGAGTGCAATGGCACGATCTCGGCTCACCGCAACCTCCGCCTCCTGGGTTCAGGCAATTCTCCTGCCTCAGCCTCCTGAGTAGCTGGGATTACAGGCACGTGCCACCATGCCCAGCTAATTTTTTTGTATTTTTAGTAGAGACGGGGTTTCACCATGTTGACCAGGATGGTCTCGATCTCTTGACCTCGTGATCCACCCGCCTCGGCCTCCCAAAGTGCTGGGATTACAGGCTTGAGCCACCGTGCCCGGCAAGAGCAGAGCTTTCAATGGAAATTGTAAACAAGCAGATCAAGATGTTGAAGCATTTCTTTGAAGAATTTTAACAGGAGATCAAGTATAGCTTTCTCAGTATGATCCTGAAGACAAAGCACAATCAAAGTAGTAGCTACGAAGAGATGCAAGTGGTCCAGTCAAATCAAAAGTGGACTGGTCAAGAGCCGAAGTCATAGCGGCAGCTTTTTGGAATGCTCAAGGTATTTTGTCTGTTGACTTTCTGGAGGGCAGAACAATAGCATCTATTTACTACAGGAGAAAGTTAACCAAAGCTTTAGCAGAAAAACACCCAGAAAATCTTCACTGAAGAGTCCTTCTCCACCAGGACAATGTTCCTGCTCATTCCTCTCTGTAAATAAGGGCAATTTTCCAGAAGTTTCTATGGAAAATTATTAGGTATCCATCTTACATTCCTGACCTGGCTCCTTCTGACATATTTTTCTTCCCTAAAGTTGAAAAATCTGTAAATGGCACCGACTTTTCTTCAGTTAATAATGTTAAAAAGCCTGCATTTTTATGATTAAAGTCCTAGAACCCTCAATTATTTACAGATGGACTAAATAGCTGTTATCATCGAGTGTCTTTAACTTGATGGAGCTTATGTTGCACAACAAAGTTTACATATTTAAATTTTATCTTTTAATTCCATTTTCCATGAACTTTTACTTTATTCTTTAAAAAATAAATCGAAGTGTTTTAATTCTACTTGCCTTTTTTACTTATTACACCTCAGGAGATTTTTTGCCATATGGATTCACCTCATCCTTTGTCATGATTGCGTAATCTTCCGTAGATGGAATGTTCCATGTTTTATTTCTTCATTCCCCCACTGTTCAATTTTCTTCAACTACAAGCATTGTTCATAATTCTGTACTGTTTGTGAGCCTGTACAGGAGTATCCGAGGACAAGCCTTTTTATGCATTTTGAGAGTGTTACTCTGAGATAGACACCAGGGGAATTGCTGGGTCACAAATCCAATTTTTTCAAAGTAAATCCGCTTGTGAACCCGGAACCAAGGCGGTTTTTCCCCGTCTCCTGTTCAGGAGCGCGCAGCCGTGACTGGCTAGTTACCTCGGGCCAGCGGGTCGCCCTGGTCTCAGGTGCCAGGGCGGGGTGACCTACCACTCTCCAGGCACGCGCTCTGGCCACGCCTCGCGGCCCCTTTCATTGAAAAACCCCAAAGGGATCACGTGAAAGAGCCCCGCGGAGTGCGTGACGTCACGACGCTCAGACCAATGGTAACCTCTGTTTATGTCGGGAGCCATCAAATAGTCATTCCAGCCCCCCCCAACCCCGCCCACCCTACGCCGCGTTGCGTCGCGCAGCTCCAAGGCACCGAGCCGAGGCAGGCGGCGGCGTGGCTGGAGCGCCGCGGGGAGAGCTGTGCCGGTTGCTCTCGGCAGCCGCGTCTCGGCCAGCTCTCCTCGCAGTCCCTGGGGCGCTGTGCATCTCCAGTCCAGGACCGAAGCCGCCGGCCGTAGCGGGCGGCCAGATCCGCGTCCCGCCTCAGCGCCCGGAGGACATGCGGGAGAGAGAATGAGCCAGAGGGACACGCTGGTGCATCTGTTTGCCGGGGGGTACGGTCCAGGCGGGGCGTGCGCACTGGGGCTGAAGGTGCTGGGACCCGAGACGCGGGCGAGAGGGAGGAGGGGACTCCATGCTGGGGATGGGGGACAGGCGGGGTGCGGCCTGGGCGAGGAGCAGCCCAGCCCGTGGGTAGCGAGGGGCCCTCCGATTCTGGGAAGCGAGTGGGTGAGGCCCGGGCTCGAGGGCGAGAGAGTGAGGCCTGGGCGAGGAGGGTTGAGGCATGAAATCCCGGCCAGGAGTGAGGCTTTGCGCCCGCGGGGCGGGGTGTGGCGGGGGCGAAATCCATGCGGCTGAGTAGACGTGGGCAGGGCTGGGGTCGATGCATGATCCCCGGGCCGCCGCTGGACCCAGCCGCATGCTGCAGTCTAGCGGATGTCGGGGTTGCAGGGTCGCTTTGAGGAGCCTGGCTCTGAGTTCGTGTAGGTTGCACTGCCCAAAGGGAACGGGGCGGAAAGTGCGGAGGCCGAGGACAAAATGGGCGCCGGGGCCTCTTCAGCCTTAGCTCGGTGCCGCGCGCACAGGGGCCTCCGCACGTCACTCACGCCCCACCTCGGACCGCGGGCGGCTCATTTCCGGGCTCGGCTCTGCAGTGTGGGTGGTAACGGGGCTACGGGCTCTAGCGGGGAAGACTTTGGTATTCCCTGGTGATTGCTGTAGGGTGTTTCTAGCCTTTGAAAAATTTCTTGCCGGAGCTTTTCCAGGTGGTGAATGGGGTGCAAAGCTTTGCAGTGACTTTGGGGTCAGATTCCTTTCTAGAAAACCACTCCTCTTGTATACCCTTGCTTTTCTGCTGCTTGGGAGAGAGTAGGAGTGGAGAGGTCAAATTTTTTGACGATAGTGTTAATAGTTACTATGTGTGTGCAAGATTAGGACTAAGCCTAAAGTCTTAGTTCCCTGATTGCCAGCATGAGTACTAGAGCTGCCAGTTTAGCCTCGTGTTTAGATTTGTTCCTTCTAAATTATTTGGAGAATCATAGCAATTTTAAGAATCAGTTATTTGGAAGATTATAAAGAGTTTTCTTATCAAAAATGGCTTCGGTGAGTTATACTGAGACTCTTCCCAGCATCTTTTTAAATCCTACAGTTTTTAGATTGATCATTTTTAAGAATATGAAATGCGTATGCAGTTCTATTCACGACGTCTTGCTTTGAGTTGCATATGAACTCTATTGAGCCAATGATGGCAATACTTTTTTTAGGTTGGCACACTGTCATTCACCAAACATCATTGCACACCAGTTATGGGCCAGCCACTGTTCTGTCATAAAAGCAATATCTTTCTGTTAATCTGTGAGACCCAGTTTAGGCAGTTTGCTTTCCATATTTCTGCTGTGTTGACTGCCAATAATCAGGCAAATTAAATTTTTTTTTTTTTTTTTTTTTTTTTTTTTTTTTTTTTTTTTTTTTTTTTTTTTTTTTTTTTTT